GCGAGACTTTTGGATGAAGGCTGTTAGAGGCTAGGCGAGTCATTTCCCGACACCAGCTTAAACAGAACTTTCAGTAAACCTACTTAGTAAGATCCACCAGGTTTAGGGAAGTCCAGACCCGTTAGATGGAGAGCTGGATTGAGCAATCCCTTTAGACATGAGGAAGTAGGAGGGAGGGGTTAGCTCATCGGATAACGAAACAGCCATACTTAACTCACACACTGCAGTCTCTCATATAAGTTTCTTTTTTTTTTCCTGAAATCAACCAATGTTTTGTCCTAACAAAAGTTTCTTTAGAGCAGTCTTAGTTTGCTGCTCCAACACAGGGTTAATTAGGTTCAAACAGCTGCTATAATGTTCTGTCCTGCCAGCTAAAACATGCAAAGCTTTATTAGTTGCTTATGGAGACATATCTGATTTGGCACATGCAGATAGGCCTTTGACTAATTCATAACTTGCTCCTGGTTAAGATGTTTTCATACTGAGCAGTTAGCAGAAGTGCTATGCTGATGTTTGCATATTTAGTCTGTGTTTTAATATAACAGAATATGGATTGTAATATATTTCATTGCAATTCCAGTTAATTGCATCTGGACAAAACTTACAGTAAAATTGTTTGTCTTGCATCATAAACACAGTGCTTTACTTTGAAGATTTTTAAATGTCAACACTAGTGTTTCAACAGAGCAGGTCACATGACATAGAGGCAGGAAGCTGTGGCAGTCGCTTCTTCACTAGGAACATCATAATAAAGGGTAAAAGGATTTCCAGGGAAAACCCAAATTCATAGAATCAACAAAATAATGTGCTTGGCCTATTGCAGTGTGAGCAAGCTGTGCACAGGTAAACAGGCAGTGATTTTTACAAACTGACACAGCACATCTCACTGGCTAACACTATGGGTATGACTGACAAAAACTCAGACAACACACCAACAACAGGGATTGGCTGTTAGGTTAAGCCACTCACTTGGATACCAAATATCGGACAAACAGGATAAAAAGGCGGTGATTGGGTCTGGGATCCAATACTTTATAAGGCAGTTGTTCACGATGCACATATTGCAGTAATTATTGCAATAATGATAAATTTGCAACATATTGTACAGCCCGAATGAAGAGGTTATTTCCTTTTCTGTAATTTGAGGATGCTGTAAAGCAGAACATTTACTGACATATTAAACTATTGTAGCTACTATGGAATTTTAATTTTATTTATGACAATTTGGTTCGAGCTAAATGTGTGTAGGCAAAACTAGCAAAAGAGTTGTGCTCCTTGTCCATAAACTTAATTTTAAGCCTTAAAATATTTAGAGATTTGTGTTTTGCCATGTTGTTCCACCACACTGACTCCTGTCTTAGACCAGAGGTCAGAACATGTCAGACAAGAAGCTGTAGAAGCCAACGTTTTCTTTTTTTCTTAAGTCATAATAAAGATTCAAAGATTGTTAGTGAATATACAGACTTGTTAGATCAACAAAATAGTATGCAGTTTTGTAAGCTATACACATAAAGACTGATGTTGAAATATCGGTTGCACAAAAGACGGCCACACATCTTGCTGGTAAACTCTATGGGTACGACTGACATAAATAAAATTTCTATTTGGTATGAATTGTATCTCTAATATCAAGGCAATGGTAATTGTAAATCTATTTTGAAATAGACAATAAATAGACAATAAATACTCAAAAATTATTTTTAACCTATAATTGTGTGGAAAGGAAATTGAGGATGCTGTGAAGCAGAACATCTATTTTTGCTTCTTAGAAAAGCTACAACCTGAACACTAACTTTGAAATTTGGTGGGTTGTTGTAGTTCTTATGACCTTAATAAAACTTTAACTACTGTTTTATTTCCAAGAAATGAATAAAATGACTGCTCAACATAATATGTTCAACCATCTACAATCAGGTTAGCTTTTTGCAGTTTCTTATTTGTCAATGTATATGAAGAGATATGACCCAACACATTTACACTTATTTATTCACATTCTGAGCCACTTAAAATTCCTAATTGAATAGTATTTGATTAAAATAACTGATTTTGTGATTCCAGAAGCTTCATGAACAGCTTTGTTGTCATAGTATATGAAATTTTTATCATCATGCTGCAAAAAGATTATTCATCTATCAAAACGCCGCTCACACACTCTCATCGCTTCATCGTACAGGCTCTGAAGTAAACCACCTTTCAATTCATCAAACATACTTCTATAGGCCTTGACTCTCAGCCACACACCTTTTTGTGAGTTGATGCATTGTGTGTGTCTGAGGTGGAAGTTGTAGGTCTAAAGCAATTACATGCCACAGATGAGCCTTTTGTTGCACCACAGCAAACCAATTTCCTGAATCTATGGCAGTCAAGTGACTTATCACTTAATTTTTTTTCAGACTTCTTAGCATACAGGTAACACATAGGGCTCTCAGAAATATGCAATAAATCCCATCTAAATGAATCAATAACCACCATCTGCACACACCCGACACGAAAGCTGAATACTCAATTTCTGCTACAGTCTCGCCTAAAATAGCAGGTGATCAAAATACTGGAGCAAACCAGCCTCATAATGTAGGAACTGTTGTTGGTCGATCTAAATTTACAAGTTCCATTAAACAGAGGGCAGCTCATCAGGTCTGAATAACAATGACACTGGTGCCCATTTTATAATGCCTGGCTTTATGTGGAGGACAGTATGAGCTGCTGGGGCTGAAATTTATTTTGGTTGATTCCTTTGGCTGAATTCTTTTGTGCACTTTTTCCCTGCTTAGCATTGATTGTAACCAGGCACATTTAGGCTAGTTTTCATCCACAGATGCAGTATGCAAATGCATAAAAATGCACCCGGGCTAATCACAAATAAGGGCTGCCACTTAAGGCAAGCAAAGAAAAAATAATTAAAATATTTTTGTGTTGAGTCTTTACCTTTGAGAATTTATTCACTACACATATTTTACGAAATTGTATAAGCTGAATATATAATGTTCAGTAACACACAATTTGACACACACACAAATGCAAATGGTATTGAGTTCAGACCTCATTACCCCAAATGTAAAGAAAAAGCAAAACACAACATGAATTTAAAAAAGGTTATGAATGAATAAGAATCTGTAATGATTTGCCAATGCTTTGAATAGACACACTAAGCCTCTGAGTTCAAACAAAAACTATTTAATCTTTACTTTCTGCGTTTCTCGAAATCTGACTACAATACATTATTGCTACCCCCAAGGTGGCGCACAAGTAGTATTGTGTGACTGCTACCACTACAGAACAGTGATGTATCAGCAAAAGTCCATTCTCACAAAACAAGTTTGGGACTGCTACACGTGTCTGCTTTGTTTTCAGCTGACAAAAGCAATATTTTGTACGTTTTATCTGAAAGGAAGATGGTTACAGAAGCTTCTGAAAATGTCTGCTATTAGGCTGGAGAAAACTTTGAGTAATAAGGATGAATCTTTCCTGTGAATCGCAGAATCAATATTCATTTGTAAAACCAATGGTTCTGAGAACTGCTTTACAGGTGTGTTGCATAGAGCTGACAAACTCCTGGCCAACAGACCAATGTACTGATCTCTTCCTGTTGGCAGATGCTTTGTTCTCTACTAAAAAGGAAAACTCTCACGCTGCCTCTTCAATTTTTCCTGGGTGATCCACTGGTTGACTCTTAAGTAATGTACCCAGTTAGAGTTGCTGCTAATGAATCATGCAAAGCCTGAGCACAGCCGCCTTTGGCTGATCTCCTCTAAGTTAGGTGAAATGTGAAAAAAAAAGTTTTTCTGTGACTTCAAAGTTGACCATTTAACTTTGCAATGAACTGACCTCTAAGTTATAATTATATACACCAGTTAAATTATGTTGGGAAACTTTTTCTCTGGCCTTTCAGATTTATTCACAGTAAGTTTTAAATATAGTTTAGGTGCTCAACATCACTGAGCCATTTCTTATTAACATGGGACTCTTTTTGTACTGAGTGTACTACGAGGAAGCTAACCAGAGACTGCTCCGGTATTTACCTCACATTAGCACTATTGTCAATAATGATCAGGCTGAGCAGAAAAAAACATTAAGTTGGTCCAGCCAAGTCTTTAGTCCCACTTTGTTTAACATGACTCAGACAATGGGGAAAATCCATAACAGGAGAAAGTAATTTACTTAAATCATTGGAAGTGTATTTTTAAGCAAGGTGTACAGCAACATTGGGTGAAAATATAACATTTTATATTTTTTTAGAGATAAAGCACACATTTGTAGACTTTCAGCATCAGTGCAATGCAGTAAAATTAATCTAATCTAAAATTGATGATTTTTTTTTTTTAAATTAGCAAACATATGTTTTTAAATTAAAATTATTACTAAAAGGCACAGTGTTGAAACATTTAAAAAAGAAATCATTTTGGGATATAAACTTTGCATCGATTCTTTATATGAAACCACAATCAAGATATTTGTGAATGGTTTCGTCATCGTTTTATATAAAATCCTTCACTTTTATTGATGTGGCAGGGAGTGAAAGGCAAAGGCATTAAATTCTCACAATAATTGGGTCATACCTGGTGTGCAGGAAGGGAATTTGTAATGAAATCTTATACACCTGAGAGTGTGTGCTAAGTTCAGATAAGCCGGCACTGCATGGATTCTCCATCTTATCTCGAGCCAGCAATGGGACTGTGAGATTGAATAATCCAGCTGGGGTTGGGGAGCAATAGTTCAGGCATCCATAGGCTCTTAAAAGCAATTTGATAAATGGAATGGTTCCACATTCTAATAAGTGTGGCACATTCACTTTCTTTGCAGGTTGTCAAAATAGGAAGGTCCTACTTGACCACCTCACTTTAAAACATATAAAATAGCTAATTTCTGTGAAATCAGTTGAGAGTATTGCAATGTCAAAGTCACATGATTTGAGGCCTCTAAGATTCTTTCATTTTAATTCTCAACATATTTAAAATCTCAAATTGAAATTGTGGGGACAAATCGAAGGACTAAATTTGGGGGTGCTAGGTGGTTCAGTTGGTAGAACAGGTGCACTGTGTGATGAGGCCATAGTCTTCGAAGATGGGTTTGATTCCCAGTCTCAGACCATTTGCTGTATGTTTTCACCCTCTTTCCTGTAAAATTACTGTTCAATAACGCCCACTAGTGCCACAAAATGTAAAAAAAAAAAAAAAGAAGAAAAACACATAAAACTCACTAAAACTGAGCCTCCTCAAATGGAGTTACCTTGTCAAGAAAATCTTATTATACTTAACCAATGAACTAACATTCCTTATGAACTTAATTATTTTCTAAGTCAATCTACTGATTCCCTAAAAGCTAAATAATTATTTGGTCTACAACAATTCATAAAAGTTTTGAATTCTGAAAAATAATTTATTGTTCTGCAGATCCAAACATCTAAACTGACTGCATTTGAACCCATGTTCATCATTGTGTGTTTAGGGATTTATTTCAATAGTTTGCTACTTTGTTACCCTACACTGCAACCAGGCATTACCAATTAAGGTGTTCACCATTTCATACCATACCCATTTTGATAAATTATGAAGATGAATATTTGAAAAAAAAGGATAATGAAATCTCAATTAAAATTTACCTTTTATTTCTCAGGAGATGTTGCATTACACCTTATTATTCCTATTAGGTTCCAATAATAATTTAGGCAAACTGACTCCTTAGACAAATTATAGATTTTGAACCATTAAAAAAATAAAAATTAAAATAAACTATGAACCACGCTCCTGTGGTGGATATTTTTTTAGAGTTGCATAATCCCATTTTCAAACAACAGGCTATACCTATATTTTAACAGATTACTTTAAGTTTTTGGTTTTCCGAGCCTGTATGAAAGACCTGTGGTAGCAGAGGTCCAGGGTGATGACACTCAAACTGCAACAGTGGGGAGTGGCAAAGGAATAAAGTAATGCATCCACTTGCTTCTCATTAACATCATCATTTGTTTGTTTGGAAAACATATTACTCACAAAAATAGAAAAGTACTTCAAAATCTTTAGATGTATTCATCCTGTTAGTTTACCCTGAGCTACATGAGTTGGCATTTATTTAAGCTGAACAAATGTTTATGTGTCCAGACCATACATTGAAAACAAACTGCTAAGTTATAGGCAGAAAGGTCTGAGATTTAAGTGTACTTTTACACTTACAAACTCATAAATGATCACATTTTAATTTCTGTTTGTACTCCTCATCTTCCGCTTCATCCGGGACCGCTTGTCTGTTTTCTGTTTTTGTGTTTAAACAGTACAAAAGTATCCAATCATATGGGTAATGTATAAAATTTCAAAAGTTCAACACAAAAACAATCCAAGTTGCCTGGTTTCAGGAATCTGCTATAAAGTTCTGCAAAAGGTCTTCGATAAAAGTGCATCTTGCTCTGCTGAGGATCTTTGCATAAGAAGGTGTTTGCTGCGGTGCTAGTGTCATGGTGGGGTTTAGGGAAAGAACCAACGTGCAGGCAAGAGCTGGACAGCAGCATGTTAAATGAGAGCTTTCTTCTTTATTCAAAGTCTTTGCAAAGCATAGCAAAGTCGAAATTCAAAAATTCTTTACAAAACAGCAAAGTCGAAATCTTTTATGTCTCCAAAAAACAAAGCAAGACGTAGCAAATTGTAGCACTGGCGAAATCCTTAATTTTTACAAAAACAAAGCTAGGCATAGCAAAAATCACTGAAGGTGTACAAAGGGTGCTAAGCCAAAAAACCTACAAGAAGTCATTCTGCAGGAACGAAGCATAAACAAAGCCTAGACGAGGTAGGGAACAGGGTAGTAATGGAAGGGACCAGCGAGGAACAAATGAAAACAGAGAGCTTATGAACAGAGGGAAGTGAAGTATGGACCAATGAGAATGAGAGGTAAGAAATCAGGGGAGATGGAATTCAGGTGTGGACCAGGTTGTAGACAACTGAGGGAATGTGAATAGTTGCTAAGGTGACAAGGCTCTAAAACAAAATGAAACACGAGAGCTAAACCATAACATAAATCCAAAGGGGAAACATGACAACAAAACAATACTCTAAATAAGAACTGAAAACAACAAGAATCAAGGAACCAGGAAAAAGCTAAATAACCAGAAAAACATAAGAACCAAGAATAAGGATTAGCTAAAGTAAACAGAGAAACTAGAGGGAACAAAAGTGCACCATAACCTGAGATCTAACTCAAGAGACCCTAAGTACAAAAAGTAAACTAAACTAAACTAACACTGACTGAACCAAACAGGGAAATGAGGCAGAAGATGTGAGGACTTAATACAAAACAAGATATAAACAATGACTAAAGCTGGCCTAACCAGAAGAAGAACTAGAATATAAGGAACTATAATAGAAAGAACAGAAAGGAAACCTAGACGATGAGGAACAGAGAAAATAAACTAGTAACCAAGAAAAGTGAACACAATACCAAACCATAAATAAACACAGAGATGCTAAATGAGAAACTAAACTAAAGAATACAAGGAAGACAAGGGAACAAAAACAATAACAAATATAATAATCATATTCATAAGAAGACCATAATAAGTAATAGAAAAGAAACCACTATGGGTCACGGGTGACTCCATGCAATGCACTGCTCTCCATTCATTGCAATGGCACATACCAAAACATTCTGTTTTGAAGACAATGAAGAGTAGCTAGTACTGGCAGCAGCTCATCTAAAATGATGTCCTTACCAACACCAGAAGAATAGATATTATTGTAACACTTCTTCAAAAGCTGCACTGGCTCCGTTGGTATAAGGATATTTTAACATTTTCCTGGGGTTCACTGCACCTTTTGGTCAAAGAGTCTCACTAATAAACTCTAATCACTGATAAGTAAATAAAGCAAGGAAATAAAGACTGAATTTGCATTTTAACATTTGCTTCTTTTGATGCAATGCTTTACAAAAAGCAAAGGTTATTTCTATTGCAATGTCTTTCATTTTCTGTGTGTGTGGTGCTAAAAAAATAAACCAATAAATACTCCACTATTGCATTATTTCTAAATGTAAACCAATGTGTTTAAAATTATCTGGTAATATAGTAAATACAGTTACTACATAAAGCATGTGACATTAGCTTATGGGTAAAAAAATAAGCTGACATGAACACTTAAAGTTTCTTATCAGTAATCTTAAAGCCCAGTAAAGTAAACAACCTTCCTGTCGAGAAGGAAGAGGTTGGAAAGAATTGACACTGTGCCTTATTATTAATGCAAAGATTAGAGAGCGTCAGAGTAAGAGGCTATGAAGTGTAAGCAAAGGAGTGGAAATTGAACCTCACTGCCATGGCATCATTCAATCAGATAAAACAGTATAATCGAGTTTTATCCCTCAGATGCATAATTAATCTTACATTCAGTTCTATATTTTTTCCCTTCTCAGAGTCATTTCTTGCTTTAGAGAAGTTGTTGGGGAATCAAGCATGAATTTGTTTTTCTTTTTACCTTTCTTTATGTTTCATAGTCTCATAGTTAAAATGAAACAGATTACAGATCACTGTTTTGTCCGAACAGAGACTTATCTTTCCCATGGAACAAAAGACTGTTTAACAAGAATAAATGTTCTAAATACTGTGTATTAGTATTTACTCAAAATATAAGACTGGACTTCAAGCAGTTGTTCAAGCAATTGTCGGCAGCATTATGGTTTTACATTTGATGTGATACTAAACTTACTTACTGGACTATTTTATTCTGGCGCCACAGTTCTTGGAAGGTGAAAAGGGAGTTCATTCACAACTCAACAGACCACCTGCTGCCAAATCTGATTTACTGCAGGGAAATATTTTCTCTCTAAGATCCTGCCATTGGTTTAGAGGGCCAAGCCACATGTTGTGAAACAAAGTAGGCTGCCAAACTAAACGGGTTGTCATTTGTGCACACTGCGTGACCATTGATTTACTTCTCCTTGGTGCTGATTTCCTGGGGGGGGACTGCGAGCTCTAAAGAAAATGCCTGCGTGCTCCATCAAAAGCAGGGTTTCCCCCAGGCCAAATCTCTTATGAGGCTCCACTGCCAGCTGAAGGCACAGTCAAAGTTGTCTTATACACTTCATAAGTTTAAGATTATAAGTTGTTTTGTTAGTGTTGCAATCTGTTCCCTCATTTAAGTGAATCTTAGACAGAGATTTGAAGGTGTTCAGTTTTCGTGTTTTGGTGTGGAGCTGAGGAGGTAGATTTAAACGAAGAAACAAGCAAATACCATTTCACAAGTAAAAGAAGGATTCATTCAGCAACCAGCTATTATCCATTCATTGTCTATTCCAGATTGTCCTTGCAGAGTCGTAGGGGGAACTGGTGCCTATCTCCAGCAGTCACTGGGCGAGAGGCAGGGTACACCCTGGACAGGCCAGTCCCTCACAGGAACATAAAGACACACAGGGCATATGTACACTCACACCTAAGGACATATTAGAGAGACTAATTAGCCTAACAGTAATGTATTTGAGTGTGATAGGAAGCCGGAGCACCCAGACAGAACAGGTTATTGTCACAATCAACTTTATTGTCAAGTTTGTGTGTACAAACAAGGAATTTAGCTTCAGTTTCCATCAATCACATCGTATATCAAAATCAGTCCAAACAACAACAACCACAATGCATATGTACTGTATATCAATAATAATGACTACAGTTTCACAAAAATAACCCTGGACATGTATGTGTCCTGTTAATTTCATTTTATCAGTCAAATTAAATAAGCATATTACTAACAAGGGGGTTTGCTTAATTTTTGGAGAATTTTATTTCTACTTCTTTGTCACTCATCCACCTCAGATTGACATGTTTTGATTCAAGTTGGACCCTAGTGAAGGAAAGGGAAGTTTGTGTGTTAAGAAGTTTCTGATTCTGGGAGTAAGAATTTACATAATCTTCTAACTTCACTACACCCGATTACTATTTCCTTGTATTTATTGTTCATTTGACTATGCATGGGCCCTAATTATTGTTTAAATAAATGTTCTGCTTAGTGAGAACTATTGTGCATACTCAAATCTTGGTTTATTTTTAAAAGTATTTTGTTGCTTTTGCTATTTGGTTTTTCTCTGTTGCATTTTGTGCTATTAAAAATGCATTTTCTATTAT